TTCATGATCAGCCTGCTTCAGTTTCTTGAAGCTAGGTGGAATTACAAGGATGCACCACATCCCATTCCAAAGGATTTTAAATATACATATTATGATTTGCTTAGGTAATTCTTGCATTGTGCTTGCATATAAAATCCAGTATCATGTGAAAACTTATGCCCATTTTTTCCATTACTATATTAATTAAATTCCCTTATTTAACAGCACTGCCTTGCACTTCCAAAATAATGTACATATTAATAGGTACAACCACTTTTCACATCTTCCTAACACATCTATGTCACTTGTGAATATAATGCTATTAGTATGAAATATCCATTTAAAATACATATTTACTGCGCTGTTATTTATTTAAACCATTTACTGTGCTGTTATTTATTTAAACCAAACTATTAAATAATCATTCAATTCCTATTTTATAAGAGCTTTTTTGGTCTGATTGTCAAAACGTATAACATTTTAACAAATGTGCTTAAAGACAGCTACCAAATAGTATGAGGGTCTCTTTTCCTTTCATCTATGACAAATCACAATTGTATATAATATACTGAGCAATCTTGGCATTCCTAAAATAAACAGCTTCTGGTAACATAGTATTATTTCAATGGTAATCCTATCTGCTAATACTTTATAACTTCTCTATCTAAACTTATAAGTAAACTTTGTTTGGAGGAGTGTTTTGTTGTTTGAAATGGGAGGGAGGTCCTCCTATATTACCTAGGTTGGTTTCTAAAGCCTGGACTCAAGTAATCCTCCATCTCAGCCTCCCAAGTAGATGGAACAATTATGTGCCACCTCACCCAGCTTGGACATTTTTGTGTTTTCACATACATCAGCATCTTTTACTCAGTGGTTATACTTACGGGGGGGGGGGGGAGGTCAGGAATACTATCCTTTCCATAAACTACAAATTTAAATATACGTAAACACATTTCAACTTACTCAACTAACATTTATTAACAAATATTGTGCAATTGTTAGGCACTAGCAATGTACAGTGATGTGCCCCCGAAGTTCTACATTGAAATTCTAAATCTCCAATGTGACAGTATTAAAAAATAAAGCCTTTGGGAACTAGGTTTGAAAGCTAGTGTCCTTATTGAAGGGGACTTAAAAGAGCTCTCTTGTCCTTTCCCACCATGTGGGACACAGTGAGAAGGATGGCTCTCTATGAACCACGAAGCAGGTCCTCCCAAACAGAGGTGTCTTTATCTTGGACTTTCCAGCCTCTAGGACCAGGAGAAACAAATAATTGCCATATAAGCTACCTGAATCTACAGTATTTTTGTTATAGCAATCCAAACAGGAAGTATATATCTTTGATGCAAAAAAATTAAGTTAATAATAAATATACATGTAAGTATACTACACTATAGTCAAACCACCTACAAACACATACAAAACAAGACAAGGAAAACTTCACATATCTGAAATATGAGCTCAGTATTGAACATGAGTAGAAGAAACACAAAGGAAAATAAGCATTGCCAACATATTTTTCCCGGAAGCAATCATTTCCACTTGACCATCAAATAATAATTTTATGAGGGTTCAGTGGCATAAGTACCTGCCTAGCAAGTGCAAGGTCTTGAATTGGACCCCCGGTACAAAAAAAAAAAAAAAAAATGCAGCAGAACTATAGTTTCTATAAAATGATGCCACATTACTAAAAGCAAGTTGCAATGTCTATTGGTACAAGGCCTTTACTTGTTCCCACACCATACCTATAAGTAACATTCAATATTTGTACAACTTCTTGATCATAAAGATAAGTCAGAAAGCTGGGTGGGGGCACAAATCTGTAATACCAGCACTTAGCACTCTGAGGCCGGAAGATATAAATTCACTGCCAGCTTGGAATACAGTGAGTTCAAGGCCAACCTGCACTATACAGGAAGACTCTTAACCCAGAACAAACCAAAAAATAAAATTAGTCTGAGATGTTTTTATACTTTTTAAAATTTCATCGTATTTCTTATTGTTTTCTGCCAGAATAACACTGATTTTTTAGTTATTCAGCATTCAACTCCGAAACACCTTTAAAAAAAAAAAAAAAAAGCCACTAATCCCAGCACTAGGGGCAGAAGGATGGCCTTGAACTCAAGGCCTCAGCTTGCTAGTGAGCTCAAGGCCAGCCTAAATTGCATGAGGGCTGGCCTGATAGCTCAGTAGATTAAAGCCCCTACCTAGGGAGAGCACACCGGCCAGGGTTCAATCCCCAGCCTGCGGTGCTGACCCTGCCCAAGGGGCACACTAAGACTGAGATTGAAACGGGGCATGGTGGCACACACCTGTAATCCCAACACTTGGGAGGCTGAAAACAGGAGACTCACTACAAGTCTAGTGGAACCCTGTAGAACCTGTCCTAAATACAGAAAAATAAATAAACAAACTACATAATGAGACCCTGTCTCAGGAAAGGGGAAGGGGCAGGGGAGAAGAAGAGAGGGGAAGGAAAGGGAGGGAAGGAGGAGAGGCAGAAGGGAGGAAAAGAAAAGAAAGCACTGGTTGAAATACTGTATCAACAGAAGCAGCAAAAATTTAACAAATTTCATCAAAATGCTGTTATAGCTTTCATGTTACACAATCTCTTACTTTTTAGGTGTTTTGTTTTTTAAGACAAGTTATCACTATGCAGCACAGGCTGGCTTTGAACTCACATTTATACTGCCTCAACCTGCTAGGTGCTGGGATTATAGGTGTACGCCACACCATGCCCGGCTATGTGATTTTTGAGATTATCAGAAATTCTCTAGCAATGATCTTTGGTCATATTCTAGTTTATCTTATTAAAATATAAAGCATTAAAATAAACTGAAAGAAACTTAGGGTGTGCCTGTAATACTGTATTCGACAGAAAACTTTCTGAAATAGTTCATTCTTTTATTTTGAAGAGTAACACATACATAGCTGAGGTTAATCATACAAATACACTATATGTTGATGGACAAAGAAAGTGGCACAGCTACTCTGAGAATGAACTTAAAGTTCTGAAAATATGCACACTGTTAAATTTCTTTGTAGGAATTCAAGAAAAAAAAATAATACACACATATATACTTAAGAAAAAGCACAACATAGTTTTATAATATTAATAGTGGTTAAAATGTTAATAGGGGTCAAAATGTTCAATTAAAGATGTAAATATAATGGGATAGTATAAAGTCATCAGCAATTACTAAAATCTATAAGTGCTCACGGAGAAAGATGGTCAAGGCAAATTATGAAGAAAAGCAGATGACATCACATTATACACAGCTGCACCACTGAACACAGTAACCACCTGCTACAAGTACACAAACTGATCTTTAATAAATTAGTTATATGTAACAAATTTAAATAAATGTATTTCCTCAGTCCCACAAGACATATTTCAACTGCTCAAAAGCTACATGTAGTTGGACATGGTAGTCTGGAAGACTATGGCAGGAAAGACTACAAATCTGAAACCAGCCTGGGAAATTTAATAACTTAGTGGGACTCTGCTCAAAATAAAACAATTTTTAAAGGGAAGGAAAGGGAGGGGATATAACAATGTGAAGGCTTTGGGTTCAATTCCTAGGAACACCCCCACACACTCCCCACACACACCCCACAGCCACGTATGGCTAGTGGCTACTGTATCTGATATGGCAGATACAGAACATGACCACTGTTAAAGAAAGTAATAGTGAATAGTACTGACACTTAATATGCTATAATCTCAAAAGCAAGAAACATAATGAAAGAACATATAAATAAAAATGATTACAAATACTGACATAACATAAAAGCTAATAATAACTAGTACTACATAATGGTACGTTGGGTTTTGTTTTTGTTAATACATTTCCTATGTTTACAGTGAACAAGTATAATGGATTTCCTGTGTAGTAAAAGCATGTTTTTAAAAAATTCTTCAAAAACAAAATTACCCCAGCTATAAATAAACATTCCAGTTTTTTTTAAACAAAAAAATGATGGATCAAGCTACAAACTTATGAATATTTTTACCAAGTATTGTTTTATGGCATTGGAAAAATTTTTTAAATTGCCTTCCTCACAATTTTTTTAGAGAGTATTCAGACTCATGGTAACAGTTGTGAGGCACTGGTGGTTCAATGGTAGAGTTCTTGCCTCCCATACTAACATCATTTGGGGATTTTTCCCTATATCTTAAGTGTGATCACTTAGAAAAGCTACTACATCTGTAACCCTGTGTGCTGAAAGACAATACAGACCAAAATGGTAGCAATGGGATATGGTATAAATAATTGTTTTGGAGTCAGATTAACATGAACTAAAATTGCTATGCTCCCATATTTATTAGTAAAAATACAAGTTTTTCCATTTTAAAAAAAATAAATAAATAAAAAATAAAAAAATAAAATGCTACAATATTTTGAGAAAAAAAAAAAATAGAAAAGCTACTACAGCTATTTAGTCCAATGTAGGATAAATTCTCTCTTTGTATCCTTTAAATGAAGCAATCATACAACAGAGGCCAGCTACAAACCAATTTTGTTCTACAATAATGAGGCTCTACATCATCCTTTCAGCTGTGCCTACTGAGCAGCAAATGATTTTCATCATACATCTTTTATAGCAGGGCAACAGTTCCATGGAAACCACAGGGCTAACATCCATTACTGTATACACATAATGGACTTTAAATATGTAAACTAAGATAATAGCTTACTTCATTAATATTTTAGAACTGAGTAGAGTTAGCTACCCCAATTCTGGTTTTGTTGTGTTGTCTCTATGAATGAATCTAGAGGTGATTAACAAATCAAGAAAACTCTGTGCCTAGAACTCTATCAACAAACGGACCTCCAGAAATCAGTATACCCCAAGGATGCAAGAAGTCTGGGATCCAGGAGGTTATTTTGTTAATCAATGAACAAAGGAAAAAATGTTCATCTAGTAGCAGAGTAAAGCACATAAATTTTCAGGCCAAGGTGCTGATTAACAAGTGAAAAGGACAGCAAATAGTAGGAACTAAAAAAGTGATCACTCACCTCTCTCAGCATATTGTTCTCTTTTTCCTTCTGCTCCAACAGGCTTTCCAGGTGGTGGACATGCATCTCTGCCTCTGCCAGCCGTCTCGTTCTCTCATGGTCTTCCTCCGTAGCTTTGGCAGAAAGTCCTTTGCTCTGCAACATTTCCAGAAGTTTCTTAATGGACTCATCCCGAGCATTCAGGGTTTGTTTCTGAGTTTCAATGCGCAGCTCCATTTCCTCCAGAGTCTTCCGCAGAAGGAACAGCTCTTTGGCCTGCCGCTCATGCTCAGCATGTAGCCTCTGGAAGTTCTCCTCCGTCAACTCTGTGACACAAGGTTCACCAGTCCTACTGCTAGTATCTTGCTGAAACAACTGATTGAGGTCCCTCTGGATCCGTAATTCATCCTGAAGAGCCTGGATCGTCATCTGCATGTGCTAGAGGCAGATGAAAAGAAAAATCCCAAATCAGCTTTCCTCTTCAAAGACAGACCAGCTGTCCTCCTCAGGAGAAGCTAAAAACAGCTAGAAAAGCTCTCAAATCTGCAGCCAGCAAACTAGGATTCACCTTATTCTATTTTATAGTTTCTTAAAATATGGTTGAGATGATCTACAAAACTGTCATTAATTTAACTTATCCTTATTCCTAACAAGCAAGGAAGGTATGCAGTTCCTCAATTAGCACAGCCATGATGAAATAAAGACACTATACTGCCAGGGATATAGCTCAGCCTAACAAGTGCAAGGTCTCAAGTTTCAATTCCTGGTACAAGAAAGAAAGAAAAAAGGAAAGAAGGGGAGAGAGAGAGGGAGGAAGGGAAGGAGGGAGGGAGGAAGGAAGGAAGGAAAAAAGGAAGGATGGATGGACAGACGGACACTGTTCAAAATTAACAGAAGGAAAAAAAAAATTAACAGAAGGTATTATGTAGGAACTAAAGGTGTAGAGAGGGAAAAGTCAGATGAAATGTACAGGAATATGAACACATCATTCAAATAACTTCACAAAATAAAGGACATTAAAAAATGACTAGATATTAACATTCAAGATATGGACTGTGCCGAGCAATTTATAAATATTAACTCACCGAATCCTCAATATGGCATACATTTTTTTCAAAATTATGATAGTAAAACTTAATGTGAACTCCATCCTCCATACAAATTTTAAGTGTACAATACAATATTATTGACCTTAGGTACAGTTTTGTTGCTTTTTATAGGTTTTCTTTTTTTTGAGAGGGAGCGGGTATCAGAAATTGAGCTCAGGACCTCACACTTGCCAGACAGATTCTGTGACACTGAGCCATATCCCAAGCCCTACATACAGTTTTGTACAACAGGTTTCTATAGTTCACTAAGCTTGCTTATTGGAAAATCTAAGTCTAATTAAACAGTAACTCTCCATTCCTCCCTTCCTAGGAAGCACCATTAGATTCCTTGATTCTTAAAGTTGATTACTTTAGAAAATATATTAAATTAATTTTACTGATAAGAACACTAGGCTTAAGAAGGCTTAAATAAGTTGTTCGAGATCAGTGATAAAACTGGCAAACAAATCAAGCAATCCTCATGAGCCACTGAAACTACTAGCATACAAAGATAGCAAAATAACTTGATGCTTATAAAATTCTGAGTTTTCATACAAATTGAAATACAGGTGAGTAATTAAATGAAGATGGTGATGAAATCAAATGAAATACTTGGGAAGGTGTACCTTCACTTGTAGCCCTCATGAAGATACATGATCTTTTAATCTGAATTATTCCAGCATATTACACAAAGAATTCCAAAAGGCTGATATAACAAGAATCTTATTTTTATGAACACAAACACAATAATAAAAGATTATTTCTTATATTTAACCACAGCAGTGTGCCAACTATCCCTTATACTTACTATGATAGTGTACCACAGTGCAAAGAATACGAAACTCAAATCAGAAGACCAGTTTAGGTCTCAACATTCAGAGTGACCGACTATGAAATTTGGACATAGAACAAAACTTTCTGGATTTCTTATCCCCTTATTACAAATACCTGTACTACCCTTTCACAAACTTGATAATGTCATGGAAATCTTTGTGGACTATGCTTCAAACTACACATTGCTTAAAATGTCTGGCTGACTACAGACAGCAAATTTTTGGCAAAATTTTTAGCAGACTAAGTAAATACCTCAAAGAAATTATCTGGCAAGTGCACAAAAATGTAAATAAAAATATACTCATTTATAGTAAAGACAAAATTAGAATCTAACATTAATGATAGGCTGAAAAATATACAACTTAACACTATACATAAATACCAATATAAATACAGACTTAAAAAAACTATGGTTACAGTACACTATTTATAAATACAAAAAATTACATAATAGTAAATACTGAATGATCACAATTCTCATATTAACAAGTATACATGCAAAGAAAAAAGTCTGAAAGGCTGTCCCTAGGTATGTGTGGCTTTTGATTTTTGTTATTCTTTTTGTGTGTGGTCTAAATCTCCAACAGTAGGCAGATAATACTTGAAAAAAAGATTTGCTTTTATCTGAAACAAAAAGACCAAGCTTTAGAGAAGCCTACTTAGATCATTATTTAATTTGCTGTCACTTTTGTAGAAAAGGAGGTGTACCGGTTAGGTTTTCATTGCTGGGACCAAATATCTGACATGCACAACTTAAAAGTGAAAAGTCTTTATTTTCCCCTGACAGTTTCAGAGGTTTTAGTACAAGCTCACGTGGTGTCAAGGCAGAAACATCATGACAGACAGGCATCAGGGAGAAAAGCTGCCTACCTCATGGCACCAGGAAGCAGGGAGAGAAATCCAAGAAGACATGATCTTTAAAAAAAAGCATCTTCAGTAATCTACTTCCTACAAATATGCCCACACAGCCCATTCACCTAATGAACTCATCAATGATTTATTCAATAATCAGGAAGAACTCTCATGATTAAATCATCTTCTAGGGCACACCTATCAACACTGCTATACTGGGGATCAAGCTCCTAACACATAAGCGTTGAGAGGACATTTCATGTTTAAACCATAACAGGAGCAAATTGTAAATTATAATTTACTATTTTAAAAAA